ATTGGGGGGGACCAAATCTTTCAGGGGGGCCTGGGGTCCCCCCCCCCCCTCCCAAAAAAAAATCAAAATTTGAAAACTCATTTCCTGCCTAAAATATTTAAAAATTCACTAACACATAGGATTGACTTTTTATTTATTTTGTACAATAATGTCTAATAGTGTATTGTATTACATTGCTGTTTTTTTCTTGTTTTACCTTTTCTTGTTTCATTATATGTAATGGCAGAGATTCGGGATTAATAAAGTACAACCATAACCACAATCATATGAACAGAAATCTATTTTATAGCGATATTTTGTGGGGGTACATTTTGAGCATATTTGTATATTGGGGGTGTGTAGTGGTTAGCGCTACGCTGCGCTATGAACCCGGCGACCCGAGTTCAATTCCCACTCACGACCAACACCAGTGACGATTATCTGAACCGGTCCCGGGCCTCCCCTAGGTCGACTCAGCCTAAAATGAGTACCTAGTGCGATGTGTAAACATCGCCGCTAGGGAGACAAAGGCGGCCGGGCGTGGTGTTGGCCACCCACCCCCTCGTGTGCCACAGTGCCGGGCTTCATAGGTGCTCGCTAACAGCACTTGCCCCTACAGTCTGTTAAGGCTATACGGGGGATCTTTGTCTTTGTCCCCGCAATATATATTAAAATTACGGCCTTTGTGTCGAAGTAACGTTTTTGTTACTTAAAACAAAACGTTGCCTATTAGTTACTATTTTAATTCGAAACCATACTCTTTTGTTCTTTCGCTAAAGTCACGTAGAAGGGAAATAATAAAAACAAAACAATAAAATTTTCACGAAGTTTCAGCCACAACGTAGGACGGCTGCTTGCGTTGTGGGCGAAACGTCGTGAGAATTTAATTTAATTTTTATTATTTTATTACTTTATTACTTCCCTTGTGACTTTAGCGAAAGAACCACGAATATCAGAGTATTAGTTGCAAGTTCAAGTATTAGGTGTAGCCCTGTGAGCCATTCGGCGCTTGAATCGGGTGCAACCGCAACAAACAAAAAACAAAAACATGAACAAAAAACATCTTAAAGTGAATATGCGACTGAGTGCAAACAGAAAATCTAAGAAAAGGCAGCAAAACATTGCAGAAAAAAATCCCAGTGGGATGCAAGTCAAACAACAACAACAACCACAAGACAACTTAGATTAAGGCCATCAGTCTAACTCCGTACTACAACAACACAAACAACAACAACAACCACAAGACAACTTAGATTAAGGCCATCAGTCTAACTCCGTACTACAACAACACAAACAACAACAACCACAAGACAACTTAGATTAAGGCCATCGGTCTAACTCTGTACTACAACAACACAAACAACAACAACCACAAGACAACTTAGATTAAGGCCATCAGTCTAACTCTGTACTACAACAACACAAACATGGCCAAACCAATACACTTTTCGAAATCACCAAAATAAAGCCATGAAAGCAATGAAACAGTGATCAAAGGCACATTGGTTGTGGATTGTGGTGTTGGTAAGGGGGTAAAAGAGTAAAACTCCCACGACGTTGACAATCTGGTGTACGACGTTTCGCAGCGGACCTAAACACAACAAGAGGCGTCGCAAACGTGAGCTGCTGTCACATTGTCAAGGACGACGCCGAGTAACGGTTCAAGGCGTGACTCGACACTTTATCGGCCTCACGCAAGGTAGTTGGTTCTATGTTAATGTTTATACTCTGTGATTATTTCGGTAAAGTCACGTAGGTATATTTTATTTTATACTGTATTTTTTTTTTATATATATTTTTTTAGTTTATTTTATTTGTTATGTTTTATTTTATATATTTTTTTACATTTTATATATTTTTTATTTTATTTTTATACCTACGTCACTTTACCGAAAGAACCCAAATAGTTGTGATTCACGCAGTCACGAAAGCTTCTAATCACGATTTTTTTAACGTTTTGTTTATTTGTTTAAAAAAAATAATAAACCACCTCCCCGGCGTATAAAACGATGGGTAAAACGATCGTAAAATAACGACGACGTTTTACAAAGCAACCAACAATATCGAAACTCTCCCAGCGTTTTTTTTATTTTATCGCAGCAAGAGTTTCACGGCGTTACGACAAGGCTGGGACTTGCGGCCTAGTCTCTACTCAATTACACATTTTTGTGTTGTTTAAGATATATAAACTCTGACATGTAAGAAACAAACTAAAAAAAATACACATTCGTTAGTTACTTACTCTCCGCCCGTGGCCATGCTTGGAGACAGACGCCGATCGTTGCTTTTATTAAAACAAAAATATATAAAATAAGAAATCAATCGGCCACTCCGCTTCGAATATTGTCGGCGAACAAGTGACTCGGTGGATTTAGAATCTCCCACCACGCACCGCGGTGCACGCGCACGCAGTGACGCAATAACGCACGCGCACGCACGCAGTGACGTAATAACGCACGCGCACGCACGCGCACGCAGTGACGCAATAACGCACGCGCACGCACGCAGTGACGTAATAACGCACGCGCACGCACGCACGCGCACGCAGTGACGCAATAACGCACGCGCACGCAGTGACGCAATAACGCACGCGCACGCACGCACGCGCACTCACTCATCACTCACTCATCACTCACCACTCACTCATCATTCACGGGTGACGTCACCGCGCGCGGCACAAAAACACAAAGTCACGGCGCGGTGACGTCATCGCGCACACCGCCCGCGTTGCGGCTTGACGCGTCCACAGCGAACGGGGGGGAGTGGACCCGATGCGTGATGACGTAGAGATCATTTAACCCCCACCCCTTCCCCCCCGGGGGGCCATGGGTAACGCGCGATGACGTCATGTTTTAAATACTCTTGCGCCTGTAAATAACGCGGGATGACGTCACGTTTTAAATACCCACGTGTCAGTGTATCATGCGCGATGACGTCACGTTTTAAATACTCTTGCGCCTGTAAATAATGCGGGATGACGTCACGTGTTAAATACTCTTGCGCCTGTAAATAATGCGGGATGACGTCATGTTTTAAATAACCACGTGTCAGTGTATCATGCGCGATGACGTCACGTTTTAAATACCCATATTCTTAGGTTAAAAGAAAACAACAAAAACAATGTACACAAGCGGTCGTCTTCCCGATTTAAAACGACCGCTCGTGTGTTTTGCGATCGAAACGTCGTAGATTTGTTTTTTGTTATTTTCTTTGAACCTATTGACGCCACTTTGGGGGCCGTCCATAAATGACGTCACGCGACTTTGGACGATTTTTGACGCCCCCCCCGCCCCCCCCATTAGTCACACGGCGTCACAAAAAGTCAGACCCCCCCCCCTCAAATATGACGTCACAAAGCTCTGCCCCCCCCCCCCCAAAAAAAATAAAACATGCTTCAAATCGCTTTTAAACTATTGTCATTGTAGCGCGTATTTAATGTGGCGCTGCACTCTGATGTTGTAGGAGAAAACATTTACTAAAAAGTCTATTTAATTAAGTAGAACGTATTGTCTATATTTATTTAAATTTGCGCATTTTGAAGTGACGTCACATTGTTCAACTCCCCCTCCCCTAGGTGCGTGACGTCATTTATGGACGGCCCCTTTACCGAAATAGCCGTCTCTAATGCCGCTTTAAACGCCACGGGGTCTGTGCGTGATGACGTCATGATTTAAATACCCTCGCGCCTGTACGCGTGACGTCATGTTTTAAATAACCTCGCCTGTACAATGCGTTATGACGTCATGTCGCATGTACATGACGTACCGTTTGAACTGCGAGAACTCCAACAATGGCTGTTGTAGGGGACTACTCTCCACCAGGGGCTGAGATGGCTCTAAACGTTATTTGTGGGACTCTCTCCCAGGGCTTGCGAAGACTTCAGTTTTTTATTCATTTTATTTGGTAATAGCCCTGTGTTGAATCGGGTGCAACCGCAACAAACTAAAAACATGAACAAGAAAACATCTTAAAGTGACTGTGTGACTGAGTGCAAACAGAAAATCCAAGAAAAGACGGCAAAATATTGCAGAAAAGCACCGTACACCAAAGCTGTGTGCAAACATCCCAGTGGGATGCAAGTCAAACAACAACAACCACAAGACAACTTAGATTAAGGCCATCAGTCTAACTCCGTACTACAACAAACATGGCCAAACCAAAAAACTTTTCGAAATCACCAAAATAAAGCCATAAAAGCCTTGGATGGTGGTGTAGAGACTCAGGATCTGCAGTAGCTACAATTATTGTTGTAGGGGAGTCTCTCACAAGGGCCTGACATGGCTCCAAAGGTGATTTGGGGATTCTCTCCCAGGGCTTGCAAAGGCTTGAATGGTGGTGGAGGTAGATATGGTAGTGTAGGCACATGTAATTTTTCCATCACAGAAATATTTCGTTTCTAACCACTTTTGTCCAGCATCTGTACTTTTAAGGCATAAGCAATTAGAAAATTCTAGATTTGAAGCTTTCGTGACTGCAAGGATTCATACTCTTAGGTTTTTTCGGTAAATTCACGTAGGTAAAAAATAAATAATTTAAATAAAATAATAGAAATAATAGAAATAAACTTATGGAAAAAATAATAGAAATAAAATTAATATTTTATTTCTATTATTTACTTTTTATTATTTATTTTTACCTACGTGACTTTACCAATTAGAAAATTATAATAGAAATAAAAAAAATATTTTATTTCTATTATTTTATTTTTATTATTTACTTCTACCTACGTGACTTTACCAATTAGAAAATAATAATAGAAATAAAAATATTCTTTTATTTCTATTATTTTAATTTTATTATTTACTTCTACCTACGTGACCTTACCAATTAGAAAATAATAATAGAAATAAAATTATTCTTTTATTTCTATTATTTTATTTTAATAATTTATTTCTACCTACGTGACTTTACCAATTAGAAAATATCACTTACTAACCCAAGAACAAAAAATATTTGTTTTGTTCCACTGAAATTGTACTTTGGTAGCGTGGTGCAAATCGCCGCGGTCCCTCCGCCTCCACCACCACCACCATCACCCCCTCCCCCATCAACGTTGACCAGACATCATCAGCAGCAGCAGCCAGGCCCGGCAGAGGTAAAGACTCAGGCCTTTCTCGTTCGTCAGGTAATGCTGTTGTTGTTGTTGTTTACGTGAGACTAACATAACGTTTAACAAACAAACACTCTCTCCCCCCCCCATCCTTCTTTAAACTCGAGTGCACAGACGAAGATTTTTGTGGGAGTTGCGTTTCCGTGACCAGTGGCGTGTTAGACTTGTCGTTCTTTCGTTCTCTACAGGGCCTACTGTTGTTAAAATATAACCAAACACAACAACAACAACAGCAGCAGCATCACAACTACATTTTGTTAAAGAATGTTTAACCATAAGCCACGTGGTCTCGCGTGCAAACTGCTCCGCTTTGGCAAAATGCTGTTGCGGTTAAATTTCGATTTAAAGCTTCTTTCGTGACTGCAGGGATTTATCTTCTTGGTTCTTTCGGTAAAGTCGTGTAGAATGGAAATAATAAAATAATAAAAATAAAACATAATAAAATATTTTATTTTAATAAAATGTGAATGAAAATAATAGAATAAAAATGAAACATAATGAAATTTCGATTTAAAGCTTTCGTGACTGCAGGGATTCATCTTCTTGGTTCTTTCGGTAAAGGCACGTAGAAGGGAAATAATAAAATAATAAAAATTAAACATAAAATACAATTCTCACGACGTTTCGGCCACAACGCAAGCAGCCGTCCTCAGGTGAAGACCAGGTCTGTCGAGAAGACAGCGTCTACACCTGAGGACGGCTGCTTGCGTTGTGGCCGAAACGTCGTGCGAATTGTTTTATTATGTTTTATTATTTTATGCTGTCGCCGTTTTTGACTTTGTGAGGTTTGTTTTTTGTGTTTGAAGAGAAGGAGGCAACTTGGAAGCGGATTCACTCCCCCAACTCCTTATGGCGACGTCTTCATAGCGCACGGAAGTTGATCTCCCCCCGTGTCACAGTCCCATGCATCTCACCCCGTGTCACAGTCCCATGCATCTCCCCCTGAATCTCCCTCTTGCATCTCCCCCTGAATCTCCCTGTTTCACAGGCCCTGCATCTCCCCCTCCATCTCCCCCTGTATCTCCCCCTGTATCTCCCTGTTTCACAGGCCCTGCATCTCCCCCCGTTTCACAGCCCATGCATCTCCCTCTGCATCTCCCTGTTTCACAGTCCATGCATCTCCCCCCTGGATCTCCCCCCTGCATCTCTCCCTGCATCTCCCCCCTCCAACTCCCCGTTTCACAGTCCATACATCTCCCCCTGCATCTCCCCCAGGCCTATGTTGGTGTGTTATGTAAACTAATAACACCGTGTTTAGTTTTTGATTTAAAGCTTTCGTGACTGCAGGGATTCATATTCTTGGTTCTTTCGGTAAAGTCACGTATAAGGGAAATAATAAAATAATAAAATTATCAACCAATAAAAATTCTCGCGACGTTTCGACTGAAACACAAGCCATCATCATCAGGTGCGAAATCCACACCTGATGATGATTGCTTGTGTTGGAGTGACTTTACCGAAAGAACCAAGAATACCGTGTTTAGTGTTTATGTTCGTAACGCTACATTTCTCACCCCGTGGCCCTGACTGGACATCTGAAACAAAGAGCTTTGTGTAACTCATCAGATTCCTCCAGTATGAATACAGATTTTGAAGCCTGCAGTCATGGCACACATCTTTTTCAAATAAATTCTGGGAATTGGCAGACTTTGGGGGCGGAATTCGATTTCGTAGTCATTTTATAGCCCCTGTTTTGCAGTCCTGCATTGTGCAGAATTCTTTCGATTAGCCTAAATTTAACATGTTTCAGATCATTTGCACATGGTTTACGTCACTAACGTTCCTTTAAAAAACGCAGGGTGATCTTCTTGGTTCTTTCGGTAAAGTCACGTAGAATGGAAATAATAAAATAATAAAAATAAAACATTAAATAATTCTCACGACGTTTCGGCCACAACATTCAGACTCTGTCTTCTCGACAGACCTGTTCTCCACCTGAGGACGGCTGCTTGCGTTGGGGCCGAAACGTCGTGAGAATTATTTTATTATGTTTTATTTTTATTATTTCATTATTTCCATTCTACGTGACTTTACCGAAAGAACCAAGAAGATGAATCCCTGCAGTCACGAAAGCTTTAAATCGAAATTTAACGCAGGGTGAATTCATTGATGCCGTGTATGTACGTTGAACATCTTTCGCACCCGTACGTCGCAAACCGTGCTAATCGGAGGTGCGCGGCGGGGGAAGGACAAATAAACGAATTGATGCACTTCTAGATTTGAAGCTTTCGTGACTGCAAGGATTCATATTCTTGGGTTTTTTCGGTAAAGTCACGTAGGTAAAAAATTTAAATCAAATAAAAATCACGACGTTTCGGAGGCAACACAAGTCTCCGTCTTCAGGTGGAACCGTCACAGCACGATAGCTGTATCAAGTAAATGAGAAATTCCAAGAAAACAGTCCTTGTATATATACTGGTTGAGGGGGGAGGAACCAGGGCAGACCCCTCGATAGGAGTTTTTTATTATTATGGTAAGGTTGGTGCGGCTGAAACTACGGCTAGTCTACATAACAAAGGACGGATACTTTATATTCTTAGGTTTTTTCGGTAAAGTCACGTAGGTAAAAAAATTAAAATTAATAAAAGTAAAATAAAATAAAAATAAAAAATCACGACGTTTCGGAGGCAACACAAGCCTCCGAAACATCGTGATTTTATTTTTTACTTATTTTATTTTACTTTTATTAATTTTCATTTTTTACCTACGTGACTTTACCGAAAAGACCCAAGAATATGAATCCTTGCAGTCACGAAAGCTTCAAATCTAGGACTGATCCTTTGTTATGTAGACTGGCTGAGAGGGGGGGGGGGGGGTGCCAAAGTTGTTATGTAGACTGGCTGAATTGATGCACGCCTGTCCACAGGTTAGATCCGCACGACCGTCGTTTACTTCCACCGCACCGAGTGACCTGAAACGAACATCACCATCATCACCAGCATGGCGTGCGCGGTGGCTACCCCATTGCCGGAGCCGATGGACGACTTCCCGGCGTGGCTGGAGGCGCAGGGCGTGAACCAGGAGGTGGCCCGGGCCATGGACTCGGAGCTGGGCATCCGGGACTACGGGGTCCTGCGCGCCTGCGTCGGGGACGGCCTCGTGCGTGCCGAGCTGCTGGCCGCGGCGCGCGACCGCCTGCCCTTCGGCTTCTACGCCGTGCTGCGGCAGGTGGTGAAGGCCCTGCGGGGCGACGGGCACCACGATGATGCGGCCGCCGCCTACCCTGGCGACGTGACGCTGGGAGGGCTGGTGGACGTGCTGCTCGCTCTGTTCAGCGGCCTGAGCCGGGAGCTGCTGCTGTCCGCGCGGAGGCTGGGCGAGTGGGATGGACTGACGCATCCCACAGGTTTATCAGCCACGGGCGCTGACAGTCCTGAAGATGTGGGGCTGGGAGCCATGGATGACCAAGAAACCAGTGACGGGGGTTTCGCTTTAACCGCCGCAAGAGCAGCTGCCCCCTTGGATGCGGTAGATTTCGGTGTTTGTGTAGCAGAAGGTAATGTGGCCTGTGTCTGGTATTCACAGAGTGTTTTGGGATTTAATGAAACTACCGAAATGCACCTCCTGTTTGAGCACAATTGGCTATGTACGCTGCGAATCAGTTCCACGTACGTGCAATCTCCGTTTTGGTGTTAAATGCATACATTTACATTTGTGCCGCGTTTTTCCCATTTTTTATGGCAACGAAACTGACACCTTTTGCAAGGAGTCATGCTTACATTCACCACAATACTTGCAGTCAAATGCAAACAAAAAACAATACTTTGATAATGTATGCATTGTCCTTGAAACTGATTGGTCCACACCAGAGACAGCTTTCTTTAGAGCCTAGTCTCATATGGTGTTCGACCAGATGACGCCAAAAGGCGCACAGTTCAAAGACAACGCACTACCAGAGTAATGAGAGCTCGGGGTGAGCAGCTACATCATGGGACCTCCTTTGCCAGTACCAAAATATACTAATAGGGTTTGTCCCCTTTTTTTCTGGCAACAAAACCTGACACCTTTTGCAAGGAATCGTGCTTACATTAACCACAATACTTGCAGTCAAATGCAAACAAAAAAACAATACTCTGATAATTTATGCACTGTCTTTGAAACTGATTGGTCCACACCAGAGACAGCTTTCTTTAGTTGCCAGAAAAAAGGGGAAAAACCCTATTAGTATATTTTGGTACTGGCAAAGGGGAGGTCCCATGATGATTGTGCTGCGTTTTCAAAACTTCCCGCCGAACCAAACTGCTAAAACGCAAGATTGACTTGTTTTCATTGTTTTTACAGATGAGGCCGAGGAGCCAAAGTTGTTGTCTGATGAACTTCTCCAACGCGATCAGTTGATGACCATCAAAGTTGAGACCTGCGCTGGTAAGATTTTTTTCCCCCTTTAAAACTGTTCACGGTGACAGGGCCCCGGCAGTAGCTTTACCGTGGTGTGAAACAAAACTTGATGGTGTCTCTTCAATGAGATACCTTCTATAAAACCAACGAGATTATTATCAGGGGTTGGTGAGGAATAAGACCGACATGCAATGCTCAGAATCAGAATATATTATTTATACTGGAGCTATAATGACTTCTAGATTCGAAGCTTTCGTGACTGCAAGGATTCATACTCTTAGGTTTTACCGAAAAAACCTAAGAGCTATAATGAACTCTATGAAATATTAAAAGAACTTTGATGAAGGGAGCAAAATTTGGGCGATGTACAGCAAGTTTGCTAGACAATTGGAGCTATCGTCTGGAGCGGGGAAAGTGGAAAACAATCGTTATTTACACCTCTAAGTGCCTTTCACCCGGAGGTCACAAGGAATACAGGGCGTTTACTTCGCACAGCTCAGAGGTCGCAAACGGGTTTTGATTCCTTACCCGTACCCGGCCGGGTACGGGTAGTCGGTATCGGGTAGGGTACGGGTATCGGGTACCCGATTGCGACCTCTGGAATGAAGCCATGTTGCAGGCACGGGTGGGTTGATTCTAGGAACTTGAATTGTGAGAAGAGACAAGACGTTGGGAAATGAGTGACAAACGGTTACTCACCAGTGACTCACGGCCTACCCGTACCCATACCCGTACCCGGCCGCACCAGGGTCGCAAACGGGTACCCGTACCCGGCCAGGTACGGGTAGCTGAGTATCGGGTACCCGATTGCGACCTCTGGCACAGCTACAGGGAGCAGATCCGAACCAAAATCGGCGAACGGAGGCAGATGAGAGCGGGTTCAAGTTGTTTTTTGAAACGTCGTAATCGTGAGAGAAAATAACGTGCGTGTTTTTTTTTCAGGCGAACTGACGAGACCACGATGGTCTTTTTAAGGCTGACCCCGTTCTGCACATCTGTGAAATAGAGCTTCGTAGCTCATCGGATTCCTCCAGCCTAAATTACAGATTCTGATTCTGAAAAGATACTTTGTCACAGACATTGACCGAGGGCATCGCTAAACACCCGTATTCGGAGCTCAGCAGCTCCAACCTCTTCTCCCACCGCTGCCTTGTAGGAGTACAGTAGAATAATTCACTGGTCAACAAAAAAAAAAACTTTTTTTTCTGGCCTGGACTTTTGCAGCTGTTCTAGACTAATTTCACAGGGTGCCGATTCCAAATCTGATCTCAGATTTGCTCTATCACATGTAATTTTTATGCTATCGGCATACCCCATTTTCATTGATTTTACCCGAAATTAACTCTGTCACTTGTGATTGCAAGTTGTTGCGAGTCAGTGACTGCTTTAGTGTTAAAATATGGTGCTGTATTTTTAGGATAGTGTGTTTATAATATCATTTTTTGTAGATATCCACATTTATTTAATATTTTTCTTCTGCAGTTTTTATTGAAAATGCAATATTTGATATCTCAAAAACCTGATGTGATAGACAAAAACTGATGCCAGATTTGGAATCTGCACCCCAAAATTACCTTAAAACCGTTGGAATACCTTATGCCAGAAAAAGTGTGTTGACCAGTGTAATAATACTGATGTTAAAACACATTTTCTTGGTTCTTTCGGTAAAGTCACGTAGAATGGAAATAATAAAATAATAAAAATAAAACATAATAAAATAATTCTCACGATGTTTCGGCCACAACGCAGGTCTGTCTGCTCGACAGACCTGCTCTCCACCTGAGGACGGCTGCTTGCGTTGTGGCCGAAACGTCGTGAGAATTATTTTATGTTTTATTTTTATTATTTTATTATTTCCATTCTACGTGACTTTACCGAAAGAACCAAGAAGATGAATCCCTGCAGTCACGAAAGCTTTAAATCGAAATTTAAAACACATTGTTAATTACCGATAGCCCCAAGTGAAGCCCTCGTATATTGCTCCTACGATAGAAACCACGCTGTCGGGAGCGCATCCCCCATGTATGCCATGGTATAATGACCCCTTTTAGCGCCCATCTTGAGCACTCAGCGAGGTCTGCCTGTATTTGACCATAATTGACTTGAGCATTCTCTGTAAAAACTCATGAAGGTCCAATTTCGATTTAAAGCTTTCGTGACTGCAGGGATTCATCTTCTTGGTTCTTTCGGTAAAGTCACGTAGAAGGGAAGTAATAAAATAATAAAAATAAAACATAATAAATAATTCTCACGACGTTTCGGCCACAACGCAAGCAGCCGTCTGAGGACGGCTGCTTGCGTTGTGGCCGAAAGAACCAAGATCTTAAACCCGCATAGAGGGTTTAGTTTTTTTTGGGATTATATCGCGTAAATATAAATAAACCCGCCACCACCCGAAACGGCCAATTAGCGACGCATATGTAAGCGAAAGCCTGCATGTTGAACATTCTTAACCCTGCCACGTTCAGCATTGTTCCGTGCCAACCCATGCTGTGTGCATTTGTTTTGTTAAATCCAGACCTAGCTGAACAGAGCCTGGCTTTGGGCGTTGACGATTCTGGCTCCAGCCGGAAGGAGCGGATCGTAAAAGCGGAGAGCTTTGACGGTGAGCCTCATTATTGTTCAAAGACGGTCTTTCCTCTTTACGCCATTTCGCTGCGTGCCCACTGCGCCGTGCCCACCCAAAGGGGGGGCTCCTGTCCACTTGCGTTGCGCTCCCCGTTGAAGCCGTGGTTCTTAACCTTTGCTGAAGCCTTTGCAACCCTTTGATTCTCAATTGTTAAAAAATATTTTTTTTATAATGCTAATAAACAAGCAAGGTTTGAAACAGAGTAAGTTGTATTTTGATTTAAAGCTTTCAGTAAAAAAGTCAACTTCAAGGACAGTGCATACATTATCAGAGTTATGTTTTTTGTTTGCATTACGACTGCAGGTATTGTGGTTTATGCAAACATGACTCCTCGTAAAAAAGGTGTCAGTTTTGTTGCCAGATAGAAGGGTAAAAAAACTATTACCAATGACATTGTTCAGTAGACATCTACGGGTTATCTGCCCACAGATCGTGGTGATGAAATTGTGGTGCCACAATGTCGATGTTTAGCTCCCTCGACTGGTATGCAAGTGGTCCGTGGGTTCCATCCCGACCCCGGCACCTGCTTTCATATTTGTTCATTCTCCCCGTGGACGTGTGGATTTTTCTCCCGGGTTTTCCCTCCGCATTAGAATCCACGTGCGTTTAGAGTACTTGTCTGTTCTACATTTTAACTTGAAAAGCCACTTTGTTGAGCTATCATTTGTGACCAGGTCGCTTCCGAAAAAGAGCTTTATAGCTTGGGGCGGGCCTTACCTGCTATAAATACATGTAGTTTTTGGTTGTTGTGCTGGTATTTTGAGCAAAACTGCCCATCGAACTGCAGATGTGGAAATACAATCGAGTCATTGTGTGCAGTCGGATGCTCGTAAGTTGCTGACCTAAAGTGGCGGATTAGAAAACTACCCAGCCACGTGTGCATCGAATCGAAACCTTTTAAAGTTTATTTTTTCCGCTCGCCACCATCGCCAACTGCCGTTCCTCTCTCCCGCAGGCAGCAACCACTCTCGCGATCGCCCGCGACTCCTCATTGCGGACGTGAAATCGCTGCAGGCGGCCCAAGCAAACTCTCCGCTCGTCGACAACTACCTCCGCTTTCCCCGGACGCATCATCCGGCGGCCGACGTGAGACGCGGCAACAAAGCCGCGGCGGCGGCGGCGGTCGCCACGAGCACGCCCGATCAGCTCGCGATGGGCCGTGCGCTCGGCTGGGAGGCCGCGGGCAAGGACGCGGCCTACCGGAAGTATCCCGCCGCGGACGACGATCCGCTCCCGGCGTGCCACAGCTGCGGGATCTGCGGGAAGACCTTCTCCATGCGGCGCAACCTGACGCACCACCAGCGCATGCACACGGGGGAGAGGCCGCACCGATGCAAGGTGTGCGGCCAGGAGTTCTCGCGGGTGGACACGCTGAAGCGGCACGAGCGCACGCACACTGGCGAGAGGCCGTACCAGTGCAAGGTGTGCGGGCAGGACTTCCCGCTGCCGGGCACACTGAAACGCCACCAGCGCAAGCACACGGGCGAGAAGCCGTACAGCTGCGACACGTGCGGTCAGACCTTCGCTTGGAAGAACGTCCTCAAAGACCACGAGCGAACGCACACGGGCGAGAAGCCCTTCCGCTGCGACGTCTGCGGTCGGGCGTTCACGCAGTCGTCCTCTCTGAAGTTCCACCAGCGCAAACACGCAGGAGCTTTCGCGCCGGTGATGATTATCTGAAACGGTCCTCTCCCCCCTAGGTAGGCTCGGCCTCAAACGAGTAGCTGGTGCGGTGTGTAGTTAACATCGACGCTGGGGAGACAAAGGCGGTCGGGCGTGGTGCTGACCACCCACACCCCTCGTGTGCCGTGCCGGCCTTAATAGGTGCTACTCGCCAACAGCACTTGCCCCAATAGTCTGTTAAGGCTATACTGGGGGGGGGGGATCTTTGTTTTTGTACATCTTTCACACCGTACGTAGCCCATCGTGTTCATCGGAGGTGCTGGTGGGGGAAGGGGCTATATGCTAAAAGCAGTCCTAAATAAAGAGTTTTTTCAGTTTGCATTCTTAAAGTTCACAGTTTCAGTGTGAATCTAATGGCAGAAGAGAGTTTTCCAGACCAGGTGCAGAGGCACTGCTGAAAGCATGCGATGCAGTGGGCCGTCTTCGGTGAGTGGCTGAAAAGCTGTGGGGTTTGGCACGATAGTCTCGGTGGGCTCTCATGAAATTGTCTTTTCCGAGACCAAGGTTCTCTGCAAACCTCCTGGCTACCATCAAAGGTTTGTACACGAAGCCATACAAATATACAAACACAGACATAATTTCAACCGTGATGACGGTTACAAACTGAGTAATCATTGGAAAGATGTGATTAACCATGCAAAAAAGATTTAACTTACCATGTTTAGTGGTTGTCTCCTTGTCACAGGTTGAGTCACAAACCGTACCTCTCCATAACAAAGGCTCACCCTCTTAAGCCTCACCTTACCATATTAATAAAAAGTGTGCTGTTTTTGGCCCTTACCCCCCCCCCCCCTTCTCCAACCATTATATAAACGGAGTGGTAGCTCCTGCAATCTCTCATTTACTTGATACAGCTGTCGTGGCTGTGACGGTTCCACCTGAAGACGGAAGCTTGTGTTGCCTCCGAAACGTGATTTTTATTTTATTTTACTTTTATTAATTTTAATGTTTTACCTACGTGACTTTACCGAAAAAACCTAAGAATACGATGGTCTGTGTTTTTTGACAGTCTCTCAGCAAGGTACTGTGGTTCGTTGGCAGCGAGCGCTTTGTCTAAATAATAAGCAGAACCTTGTAATGGATATGTTGAGCAACCGGCAGAGGTCGCAACTGGGTACCCGATACCCGTACCCTACCCGATACCCGGCTACCCGTACCCGGCCGGGTACGGGTAGCCGTTTGCGACCCTGGTGCAGCCGGGTACGGGTACGGGTAGGCCGTGAGTCACTGGTGAGTAACCGTTTGTCACTCATTTCGGGTAGGATACGGCTACCTGTACCCGGCCGGGTACGGGTACCCATTTGCGACCCTGGTGCGGCCGGGTACGGGTAAGGAATCAAAACCCGTTTGCGACCTCTGGCAACCGGGAACTGATGCAGCTCGGCAAGCGCTAGACGGATACGTACGTACCGTAAGTGACCAACCGTGCTAATCGGAGATGCGGTCAGATCTGGGAAGTTCCCGTCGCGACACCACACGCGTCAACGAATTTTGTACACGCCCTGTAGCTCGCTAATGTTTTTTTTGACGTCCTGTTGGGAGTAGTGAGTTGCAATAGTCCAGCCTCATCAGTACTTTGCTGCAATGCCGAAATATTGGAATTGCAGGATCTCCGACCCGTATTTTGCACGTGGTGATCAAACAACATCAACGGTTGATCGCGTGGTGTCGAGACTCATTGATCTCAAGTAGAAAACTAAAATCTTTCGGAGTCTGCGACCTCCTCTGGGTCGAGCAGCATCTCATTTTGTTGCGAACCACAGGAGCGTCCGCTCGCGTGCAGTCTTCGAGGATACCGAGGCTCTCTTCGTGGCCCAACGTTGACTTCGCTGCCGCACACAACTGCGTTGTCGCCGACATACCGATGGGACTTGATGTCGCGCGAAAATTTGACATTGACAAACGGAGAGGGCCCACCAGGCTCGGCACAGGCGACGACTGATGTTCACCCAGCTTAACGAACTGTGAGCCACCATAGTAATGGGTTTTTACCCTTCGAACTGGTATAAAAACTGACACCTTTGTAATAACAGCCATAGAGGGTTCACGTGGGGATTGGCTTGCCGGTCCTGCTTGTAGCCAATAAGGGTTGAGATAGGACCGTGGGCCATGCGTCATCACGACAGGTCATCAGGAGTGATTGGCCTAGCCATTCGGGGCCCCAGCTAATGGGGAGCCGGATGAGGGGCGTGGTCCCGGGAGTGACAGGGAACCATCGAGAATGGTCGAAGCTGTCCATGGACGATTGGCGGGGGAACCACATGACGAAGGTATTAAGAGCGAGTGAGAGGGAACGATCGCGAGCAGACTGAAACTAACAAGAGCAGGGTCACGCGCGGACGGGGGCTCGGGTTGCCACGTGCGCGGTGGGGACTTAGTGCGAAGTCTGTCCTCTCTCCGTTGTCTGCCAGCAACGGAGAGTGAGTGAGCAAAGTGTATTGTGGAGTGGAAATAAAAGGACTGATTTCGAAGCCGTCTCCTGGAGGAATATTACACCTTTATACAAGGCATCATGTTTGCAATAACTACAACACAAGCAGTTAAAATGCAAATAAAAAGAAACAACTCTGATGATGATAATGATATGCATTGTCCTTGAAGTTGATTGATCCACACCCGAGACAGCTTTTCTTAGAGCCTAGTCTCCATTGGTGTTGGACCAGATGACGCCAAAAGGCGTACAACTCAAAGACAGCGCACTATCAGAGTATTGAGAGCTCGGGGTAAGCATTTACACTGAGACATCTCCTTTACCAGTGACAAAATATACTGTAGTAATAGGTTTTTACCCTTTCAACTGGCACAAAAACTGACACCTTTATACAAGGCATCATGTTTGCAATAACCACAACACAAGCAGTCAAAATGCAAACAAAAAGAAACTCTGATGATAATGATATGCACTGTCCTTGAAGTTGATTGGTCCACGCTCGAGACAGCTTTTCTTAGAGCCTAGTCTCCATTGGTGTTGGACCAGATGACGCCAAAAGGCGTACAACTCAAAGACAGCGCACTATCAGAGTATTGAGAGCTCGGGGTAAGCATTTACACTGAGACCTCCTTTACCAGTGACAAAATATACTGTAGTAATAGGTTTTTACCCTTTCAACTGGTACAAAAAAAAAAAATCCACCATCTAGGTTATGACCTAAATCCACCTCGGTGCTGTAGCCGTCATGCCAAACCTCGACATTAGCCACCCGGTGAGAATCTGGTGGTCGGCGTAGGCAGCGGAGAGATGCAGGCCGAAACAACGCTGCGGTGCACCGTCTGTCCATGATCCTGTAAAGGCCGTCGGTGATCTTCAGTGATCTTCGGTGATCTTCGGTGGGGCCGTCTCGGTGCCGTGCGACTTCCGACTCGTGCCGATTGCGACGAGTCGAATCCGCCCGTCCAAGGTGGTTGGAAGTAACCACTTCAGACGGAGGTGCTCTAGCAACCTTTTAAGTTTAAGATGGGGGATGCTAAATTTCGATTTAAAGCTTTCGTGACTGCAGGGATTCATCTTCTTGGTTCTTTCGGTAAAGTCACGTAGAAGGGAGATAATAAAATAATAAAAATAAAACATAATAAAATAATTTTCACGACGTTTCGGCCACAACGCAAGCAGCCGTCCTCAGGTGATGACCGGGTCTGTCGGGAAGACAGCGTCTCCCCGACAGACCTGACACCTTTATACAAGGTATCATGTTTGCAATAACCACACTGTCTCCCCGACAGACCTGGTCTTCACCTGAGGACAGCTGCTTGCGTTGTGGCCGAAACGTCCTGAGAATTATTTTATTATGTTTTATTTTTATTTTATTATTTCCATTCTACGTGACTTTACCGAAAGAACCAAGAAGATGAGTGCGGGGTGATTAAAAACACCGAAGTACGTGTGGGGACTGTGGTTTGTATCCGAGCTGCACCACGTTCCATAAGAATGTGGGGGCCTTGAAAGGGGCCAGAAGCATGCGGTGTGATTTCGGTGATGGCTACACTTTTTTAAATGTCCTCCCAAGGATGTACACTTGTCATCAACTTGACCACAAAATTTCCAGACAGAATCTGAATATTCTTGGATCTTTTGGTAAAGTCACGTAGAAGGGAAGTAATAAAATAATAAAAATAAACTTTAATTCCCACGATGTTTCGGCCACAACACAAGCAGCCGTCCTCAGGTGAAGAACAGAGCTGTCGGAAAGACAGCGTCCTAATGCACACCGCCAAGCTTGGCAGCTGCTTGTGTTGTGGCCGAAACGTCGTGAGAATTTTATTATGTTTTATTTCTATTTTATTATTTCCCTTCTACGTGACTTTACCGAAAGATCCAATAATATGAATCCCTGCAGTCCCGAAAGCTTTAAATCGAAAGAATCTGAATATTTATACTGGTAGGAATCCGATGAGCTATATAAAGCTGGTAAGAACGTTACAACAGACAGCAAAAACATCTGAGTGCAAAATACAAGAAATGTAAACAAATCACCCAAACACACAAATTTAATTTAAACCATCCCCCATCCTACCAGACAAAGCCCACAAGCAATTTCAAACCCTCACGCCACAAACACCACACGCGCACCCATGCTGCTGTTGTCACCTGGAGCTTGACCAAATCGGAACTCGGGTGGCTCAAACGCGCCGCCGAGAATGCGCCTGGCCGAAATTGGTAGAGCTCTGCGCGCACGTGAGGCTCAACGTTGAATCACCGGACCCGTTCGGACCGTTCTTACAGCCCTCCACAAACGTACCAAGCCCTTGGCCACGATACCAACTAACCAATTGCAGGCCACGGCCTGTGCTTGTGTGATGCCACCGCCACGGAGCCGATCGCCGGGTGCCCCACACATAGAGCGCGAGAAGAGATCCCCTGGCTGACAGGTTTTAACCCGGAAGCCCTCGTATAGGGATAATCTTCACGGTTTCCTGCGGCCAGGGAATTAGATGGTCTCCTCCGACGCTAACGCACACCAGGGCGTCGTGACTCGAGTGGAGAATTACATGGTCACGACGGGGCTGTCCCGCCACCACGGTTGAAACGCACCCCCCGCACCTGCCCAACCCATAACAACGGAAGCTCCTGGAGTGCGCAATTGTATGTGCGAGTCGCCAGCAGGCAAACGTTAATATTTGTGCGTAGGGAATGTCAAACGGGGTTAGCAGGTCAACCGCCACCATTAACAAGTCTGCGTGATTCACTCAACACTGCGGGTCGCTTGGGGGGGGGGGGTAATGTAGCACGAAGGGAGGGACTGTCCATGCGGGATGTCTTCAACAGAGATGTTTATTCGGTAACGTCCCATTACCATGGACTCCGGTTCATCATGAAAGGACGGTCTTAAATAGAGGCCGACCGAAACTCAATTTCTGGTTTGGGCTGAAACCAAAAATAAACGGAAAGTTAAAAATTGACTTTCGGCCGAAACCGAGAGTTTAACTTCACTTTCAGCCGAAACCGAAACTTTATGTACACTTTTGACCGAGACCGAAACAGATAGATATATAACCCAAGTTACCGAACAAAATATTTATGAAATACAGTACTCTACTAGCTTTACAACCCAGCTCCGCCCGGGACTTGGATTCACCACGGCCGGCCGCCTTTGTCTCCCCAGTGGCGATGTTGACACGCCACACCACTTACTCGTTTGAGGCCGAGTCGACCTAGGGGAGGCCCAGGACCGGTTCAAATAATCGTCACCGGCCGTGAGCGGGAATCGAACTCGGGCCGCTGGGTTTGTAGCGCAGCGCGCGAATCGCTACACAGTCGCTGCCCCCCACACACACAGGATAAAGACAAAGATCCCCCGTGTAGCCTGCGAGACTGTAGGGGGCAAGTGCTGTTAGCGAGCACCTATAAAGGCCGGCACGGCACACGAGGGGGTGGGTGGCCAGCACCACGGCCGGCCGCCTTTGTCTCCCCAGTGGCGATGTTGACATACCACACCACTTACTCGTTTGAGGCTGAGTCGACCTAGGGGAGGCCCAGGCTAAAGACAAAGATCCCCCGACTGACCGGCTGACACTTAGCACTAGCCTTATATTCTAAAAATAGATCTTCGCTTGACGACCGAAAGCCAATATCAGTTTCAGATGTAGATGCCACTGGTTCTTCACGTTCTGTAGATGTAGATGCCACTGGTTCTTCACGTTCTGCAGATGTAGATGCCACTGATTCTTCACGTTCTGCAGATGTAGATGCCACTGGTTCTTCACGTTCTGCAGATGTAGATGCCACTGGTTCTTCACGTTCTGCAGATGTAGATTCCACTGGTTCTTCATGTTCTGCAGATGTAGATGCCACTGATTCTTCACGTTCTGCAGATGTAGATGCCACTGATTCTTCACGTTCTGCAGATGTAGATGCCACTGGTTCTTCACGTTCTGCAGATGTAGATGCCACTGATTCTTCACGTTCTGCAGATGTAGATGCCACTGGTTCTTCACGTTCTGCAGATGTAGATTCCACTGGTTCTTCATGTTCTGCAGATGTAGATGCCACTGATTCTTCACGTTCTGCAGATTGTAGATGCCACTGGTTCTTCACGTTCTGTAGATGTAGATGCCACTGATTCTTCACGTTCTACAGATGTAGATGCCACTGGTTCTTCACGTTTTGCAGATGTAGATGCCACTGGTTCTTCATGTTCTGCAGATGTAGATGCCACTGGTTTTTCACGTTCTGCATATGTAGATGCCACTGGTTCTTCACGTTCTGCAGATGTAGATGCCACTGATTCTTCACGTTCTGCAGATGTAGATGCCACTGGTTCTTCACGTTCTGCAGATGTAGATGCCACTGGTTCTTCACGTTCTGCAGATGTAGATTCCACTGGTTCTTCATGTTCTGCAGATGTAGATGCCACTGATTCTTCACGTTCTGCAGATTGTAGATGCCACTGGTTCTTCACGTTCTGTAGATGTAGATGCCACTGATTCTTCACGTTCTGTAGATGTAGATGCCACTGATTCTTCACGTTCTACAGATGTAGATGCCACTGGTTCTTCACGTTTTGCAGATGTAGATGCCACTGGTTCTTCATGTTCTGCAGATGTAGATGCCACTGGTTCTTCACGTTCTGCATATGTAGATGCCACTGGTTCTTCACGTTCTGTAGATGTAGATGCCACTGGTTCTTCACGTTCTGCAGATGTAGATGCCACTGGTTCTTCACGTTCTGTAGATGTAGATGCCACTGGTTCTTTACGTTCTGCAGATGTAGATGCCACTGGTTCTTCATGTTCTGCAGATGTCGATGCCACTGGTTCTTCACGTTCTGCAGATGTAGATGCCACTGGTTCTTCACGTTCTGCAGATGTAGATGCCACTGGTTCTTCACGTTCTGCAGATGTCACTGATTTTTCACATTCTGCAGATGTAGATGCCACTGGTTCTTCATGTTCTGCAGATGTAGATGCCACTGGTTCTTCACGTTCTGCAGATGTAGATGCCACTGGTTCTTCATGTTCTGTAGATGTAGATGCCACTGGTTCTTTACGTTCTGCAGATGCCACTGATTTTTCACATTCTGCAGATGTAGACGCCACTGATTCTTCACGTTCTGCAAATGTCCATGACACTGATTTTTCACGTTCTGTAGATGTCGATGCCACTGGTTCTTCACGTTCTACAGATGGAGATGCCACTGGTTCTTCACGTTCTACAGATGTAGATGCCACTGGTTCTTCACGTTCTGCAGATGTAGATGCCACTGGTTCTTCACGTTCTGTAGATGTCACTGATTTTTCACATTCTGCAGATGTAGATGCCACTGGTTCTTCATGTTCTGCAGATGTAGATGCCACTGGTTCTTCACGTTCTGCAGATGTAGATGCCACTGGTTCTTCATGTTCTGTAGATGCCACTGGTTCTTACGTTCTGCAGATGTAGATGCCACTGTATCTTCATGTTCTGCAGATGTCGATGCCACTGGTTCTTCACGTTCTGCAGATGTAGATGCCACTGGTTGTTCACGTTCTGCAGATGTCACTGATTTTTCACATTCTGCAGATGTAGATGCCACTGGTTCTTCATGTTCTGCAGATGTAGATGCCACTGGTTCTTCACGTTCTGCAGATGTAGATGCCACTGGTTCTTCATGTTCTGTAGATGTAGATGCCACTGTTTCTTCACGTTCTGCAGATGTAGATTCCACTGCTTCTTCACGTTCTGCAGATGCCACTGATTTTTCACGTTCTGCAGATGTAGATGCCACTGATTTTTCAAGTTCTTCAGATGTAGATGCCACTGGTTCTTCACGTTCTGCAGATGTAGATGCCACTGTTTCTTCACGTTCTGCAGATGTAGATGCCACTGGTTCTTCACGTTCTGCAGATGTAGATGCCACTGGTTCTTCACGTTCTGCAGATGTAGATGCCACTGGTTCTTCACGTTCTGCAGATGTAGATGCCACTGGTTCTTCACGTTCTGCAGATGTAGATGCCACTGTTTCTTCACGTTCTGCAGATGTAGATGCCACTGTTTCTTCACGTTCTGCAGATGTAGATGCCACTGTTTCTTCACGTTCTGCATATGTAGATATCACTGGTTCTTCACGTTCTGCAGATGTAGATGCCACTAGTTCTTCATGTTCTACAGATGTAGATGTTACTGGTTCTTCACGTTCTGTAGATGCCACTGATTTTTCACATTCTGCAGATGTAGATGCCACTGGTTCTTCACGTTCTACAGATGTAGATGCCACTGGTTCTTCACGTTCTGTAGATGTAGATGCCACTGATTTTTCACGTTCTGCAGATGTAGATGCCACTGGTTCTTCACGTTCTGCAGATGTAGATGCCACTGGTTCTTCACGTTCTGCAGCTGCTAATTCCCTTTGGTGCTCGTGTTTCCTCGACTCTTGAAAAACTTATCAAGAGATGTCTGCACAGTTTGTCCTCTTCTGTTCACGAATCAACTTGTCACAGGCAGATGGGGCCTCAAACGATGAACACCTTTTAGAGAAGCTGGCTTGCTTGCACTGTACCTGTAACTCTTGCGTGATTATTGAGAAGCCACGCTGTTCACGAGTGCTTGTGTCTCTCTACATTACTCGGAGCACAACAACGAAGTCACTAAGCCAGCAACGTGGTTCACCAATTAAACGATTCTCACAAAGCACATTGATAACACTGGTCAACAAAAAAAAAAATTCTGGCCTGGACTTTTGCAGCTGTTTTAGACTAATTTCAGGGTGCCGATTCCAAATCTGATCTCAGATTTGCTCTATCACATCTCATTTTTATGCTATCGGCATACCCCATTTTCATTGATTTTACCCGAAATTACTCTGTCACTTATGATTGCAAGTTCTTGCGAGTCAGTGACTGCTTTAGTGTTAAAATATGGTGCTGTACTTTTTAGGATAGTGTGTTTATAATATCATTGTATGTAGATATCCACATTTATTTAATATTTTTCTTCTGCAGTTTTTATATTTGCATCAAAAACCTGATGCCAAATTTGGAATCAGCACCCCAAAATTACCTTAAAACCGTTGGAATACCTTATGCCAGAAAAAGTGTGTTGACCAGTGTAATACAATTTATGAGTAATAACATAATTTTTAACACGTAAAAGCTTTTGCGACCAATATCCATAAAAAAAGTTTATTTTTTTGGGGTTAGATCGCGTAAATATAAACGTGTCGTTAAACCCGCCACCAACCGACACGGCCAATTTAGTAAGACTTACACAAACAGAATTGATAAAAACCTATATTACGGATGAATTATAATGCAAAGCGTCTTTCGTATATAGGTGGCAAGCAAGAGTGGTGATCTCATATTCTTAGGTTTTTTTGGTAAAGTCACATAGGTAAAAAATGTAAATTAATAAAAGTAAAATACTCACTTGATACAGCTATCGTGCTGTGACGGTTCCACCTGAAGACGGAAGCTTGTGTTGCCTCCGAAACGTCGTGATTTTTATTTTATTTCTATTTTACTTTTATTAATTTTAATTTTTTACCTACGTGACTTTACCGAAAAATCTTCTTGGTTCTTTCGGTAAAGTCACATAGAAGGGAAGTAATAAATAAGAAAAATATAATAAAAATAAAACATAATAAAAAAATTATTTTATTATGTTTTATTTTTATTATTTTATTACTTCTCTTCTACGTGACTTTACCGAAAGAACCAAGAAGATGAATCCCTGCAGTCACGAAAGCTTTAAATCGAAATTTACCGAAAAAACCTAAGAATATGAATCCTTGCAGTCACGAAAGCTTCAAATCTGGTGATATTTCCCTCGCTTGTTATGCAGGAGGTTCAATAAGCCATCTTCTTCATCATCACAGCAGGGCCTTACTTGGTTAAAAAAAACAATCAGTTTAAATCACCGACTTGGGAGCACGCCACTTGCGTGCGCTGGTGAAACTTCAAAGACGACGCTTTGCCGAAGCTCTGCCCGCACCCGCCGCAGTGGAAGGGCCTCTTGCTATCGTGCGTACGCTCGTGCTTCCTCAGGACGTTCTTGCGCGTGAAAGTCTGCTCGCACTCGCCGCAGCGGTAAGGCCTCTCCCCCGTGTGCGTCAGCTCGTGGCGCCTCAGCGTGCTCAGCTGCGAGAAGTTCTGCTTGCAAACCTCGCAGCGGTACGGCCTCTCGCCCGTGTGCGTACGCTCGTGCGACTTGAGGTGCGAGCTCGAGGAGAACAGGTGGTTGCACACGCTGCACGAGTAGGGCTTCTCGCCCGTGTGCAAGCGCTGGTGGCGGACCAGGCTGCACCTCATCGAGAAGAAGTGACCGCAAACCCGGCAGCCGAACAGCTTCTTGCCCGCAGCCACCTTCAGCGAACGCCGTCGAATCGGCTCGAACGCCGGCGATAGACCGTCGACGGCGAAGGCAAAGTCGTCGTGGTGCTGATGCTGCTGCTGCTCCTCCTGCGGGAGAGGCACGTCTATGTCCGCGGCCTTCTCGTCCTGGGCGTATCCCATCGCGAGCTGCTGCTGATCGGTCTCGAACGCGCCGCCACTCGTGGTGGCCGTGGCGTTGCCGACGCGCGTTCTGCCAAACGTCGGCCGCCGACGCTGCGCGGGTAAACTGCCCACGGCGGGCACGTCCGCCGCTTGGGCGTCCCGCAGAGAGCTGGCGTCCGCGGCGACGGGCTGCCAGCGCTCGTGGGAGCTCTTCGTGCCTGCCGGGGAGAGGAAAAGACGACGAAAGCAAAGGGTCAACGGGGGGGTTTTGTCTCGACGCGATTTGTCGCGGCGTCTGGCCGCACGCGATGGCTGCCTAATCCCGTCTTCTGCTCGAAGCACCGTGCCAGGTGTTTCGCACGCATCGTCTCTCTTATAGGAGGCAAAAGACATCGACTCTTTATCCGTAATAATGTGGCGAACTTGCCATGCGATACGTGAAAACGTTTCGGTAAAATGAATCGTCGCAGATCAATTGAGCACCGCTGACAGCAGGAGCCGCAGATGAATATGTTGCGTTACCTCCGCGGGTTTCCGTTTTCACTCTCTGCAACATCTGCCCGGGGTCCAAACCTTCGAAGTCTGCAACTGGGTTCCACTTCTCCTCTGCGGGATAAATCAAACGGCAACGGACAACGATTCAGGATCGTGCGTGAGAATGCAGGAACGTCCGAACTACAAAGAGTTAAGCTGAAAGGCTCCCCCCCCCAAAAAATAAGAATTTACAAAGTAAATTAAATAATTTACACTATGGGAACCTCATTTGCCAGTAAAAAATATGATCATTGGTTTTTTACCCTTCTATCTGGCAACAAAACTGACACCTTTTTACAAGGAGTCATGTTTGCATAGACCACAATACCTGCAGTCATAATGCAAACAAAAAAACATAACTCTGTATGCACTGTCCTTGAAGTTGATTGGTCCACACCCGAGACAGCTTTCCTTAGAGCCTAGTCTCACATGGGTTGGACCAGATGACGCCAAAAGGCGCACAACTCAAAGACAACGCACCATCAGAGTATGAGAGCTGGGGGTAAGCATTTACACCATTGGAACCTCATTTGCCAGTAAAAAATATAATTGGTTTTTTACCCTTCTATCTGGCAACAAAACTGACACCTTTTTTTTTTGTTGCCAGATAGAAGGGTAAAAAACCAATTATTAAAATAAATAACTCGGACCGGAACACGCACTCATTATAACCTGTGCCCCAGTAGGATAGAGCATTCTGCCACCACACCACATGCACAAGAAGACTCGATGCTAATCGGTTGCAGGAAATTAAAGATGTGCCCGTCAACACTTGGGAGTGCAGGATGATAACCCGCTACAACCGTTCTGAATTAATGTGCCCTAACAATGGAACCCGTTCCCTTGGGCTCTTCTCTTTTCACAGTTACTCTTAGAAACGAAATACAATAACTCTTTGGTTCTTTCGGTAAAGTCACGTCGAAAGAAAAAAATAGAACACGACGTTTCGATTGCAACACAGGCACCCGTCATCAGGTGAGAACTGGATGTAAATGCAAGCTCGGAGAGAGACACAGAGACAGAGAGAGAGACACACAGAGACAGAGAGACACATAGGAGAGACACATCGACACACACAGAGTGTGTCTCTGTGTGTCTCTCTCTGTGTGTCTCCTGTGTGTGTCTCTCTCTGTCTCCTGTGTGTCTCTCTTTCTGTGTCTCTGTGTGTCTCTCTCTCTGTGTGTGTGTCTCTCTCTCTGTGGGGAGGGGCTGGGTGGGGAGGGTGGGGCTGGGTGGGGGGAGGGAGGGGTGGGGCTGGGTGGGGAGGGGTTGGTCACCCCGTGGTGCCCTTATAAAACTCAACGTTTAACCTACTCACGCCAGCTTGTGCCCGCCCTCACAGTCGGGCATATTTGTGGAATACACCACTTCCGCCGTTGACCCTGGCCATTGACCAACCAACCCAACGTTTCTATCAGCTCACTTCGCAGGAATGTGTTCTTGGCCAAAACCTTACCTTCGCTGGTCTCAACTTTGATGACAGTCAACGTCTTATTGTGGTTTAAGCGCTCACCGGATAACAACTGGCCAGCCCCAGCCTCACCTGGAAAACAAAAACCGCTGCGTTTGGTATTGTCTCGTGGCAGTTTGGGTCCCAGCATGGGCGTTCGTGGAAACGATTCGCACAGATTAAATATAAACGGGATCAAACACAATCGCAGGCCTAACATCTCACCGGAGAGGAGAAATTCAAAATCGAAAGCACTACGTGAACACCGTGGCACGTTACCTTCCGCTGGACAGGCAACAAAATCATCTGCTGCATCCATTGGAGCGACCGCTCTTGCGGTTGAAGTGAAATCCCCATCACTGGTTTCTTGGTCATCCATGGCTCCCAGCCCCACATCTTCAGGACTGTCAGCGCCTGTGGCTGATAAAGCTGTGGGATGGGTCAGTCCATCCCACTCGCCCAGCCTCCCCACGCACAGCAGCAGCTCCCGGCTCAGGCCGCTGAACAGAGCGAGCAGCGCGTCCACCAGCCCTCCCAGCGTCACGTCGCCCGGGGAGCAGGCGGCAGCATCATCATCGTCATCGTGGGTCTCGGCGCCCCGCAGGGCCTTCACCACCTGCCGCAGCACGGCGTAGAAGCCGAAGGGCAGGCGGTCGCGCGCCGCGGCCAGCAGCTCGGCACGCACGAGGCCGTCCCCGACGCAGGCGCGCAGGACCCCGTAGTCCCGGATGCCCAGCTCCGAGTCCATGGCCCGGGCCACCTCCTCGTTCACGCCCTGCGCCTCCAGCCACGCCGGGAAGTCGTCCATCGGCTCCAGCAATGGGGTAGCCACCGCGCACGCCATGCTGATGATGCTCGTCTCGTTAAAGGCGATGACTTTGGGTTGAAATTAAGGGTTGTGCGGAGTAAAACTGTGAACAGGAACGGAACAATACGTCAATTGATCGTGCATTTTTATCAACTTTGCAAGATGTGCCAACTACACTATGAGACCTCCTTTACCAGTGGCAAAATATAGTAATAGGTTTTTGTTGAAAGGGTAAAAACCTATTACTATATTTTGCCACTGGTAAAGGAGGTCTCATAGTGTAAATGCTTACCCCGAGCTCTAAATACTCTCTGATAGTGCGCTGTCTTTGAGTTGTACGCCTTTTGGCGTCATCTGGTCCAACACCAATGGAGACTAGGCTCTAAGAAAAGCTGTCCTCGGGTGTGGACCAATCAACTTCAAGGACAGTGCATATCATTATCAGAGTTGTTTCTTTTTGTTTGCATTTTGACTTCTTGTGTTGAGGTTATTGCAAACATGATGCCTTGTATAAAGGTGTCAGTTTTTGTACCAGTTAAAAGGGTAAAAACCTATTACTATATTTTGCCACTGGTAAAGGAGATCTCATAGTATTTGCCAACTAGTCAACGCCATGGAACAGATTTACCCCCCGAACAAAAACCATACCAACAGTGGTTACAGCAACAGGTCTGTTATCCGGCACTTGACCATCCGGAATGCTCTATTAACGGGCATCTCGTCATGGACGGAAATACAAATGTTTCCTGCACGGATCCGAAAGAAATTCTGACAAGCCATCCGGCATCTTGCCGTGCGCCTGCCGTAGATCCATTGTTGTTGTCGTTGTTTAGGGAAACTTCAGGACGCTGCCGAGCGGTGGAGCTAGCAGAAGTCCGTACGTACAGCGCCGTACGACTGTATTCTGTACTCTGAACGGGGCCCCCACTGATTTGCTACAATCAACTAAGAATGCTCTGCAACTGAACGGTGAGTGCCTCTGTAAAAGGGTAATATTATTTCTTGTATCACAGTTAAAAGTGTAGGCTTAGTTTTTTGTTCTTTGAAAAACTGTACTGCTTGGAAAATTTGGTGAACCATAATTATAACTCTCTAAACTAACCGGCATCTTTAATTAACCTGAATCCCTCCATTCCCGATGGATGCCGGATAACAGAACTTTTGCCGTATTTATTTACATTGTAAAAAACCCTAAAACTTTTTCTTCTATCAGGTTCAAGTTCATTTATTAGGTATGGCTCACAGGGCTATTCGGCTCTTGAATCGGGTGTAACCGCAACAAACAAACAAAAGAACAAGAAAACATCTTAAAGTGAATATGTGACTAAGTGCAAACAGAAAATCCAAGAAAAGACAGCAAAATATTGCAGAAAAAACACCATACACCAACGTTGTGTGCAAAAATCCCAGTGGGATTCAAGTCAAACAACAACAACCACCACAAGACAACTTAGATTAAGGCCATCAGTCTTACTCCGTACTACAACAAACAAACATGGCCAAACCAGTAAACTTTTCGAAATCACCAAAATAAAGCAATGAAACAGTGATCATAGGAACTGTGACGGAATTTTCACAATAAACGACAAACAACATGTACCACCAAAACCCTGCAGCCATAGCTGGCTGCATGAGTCACTCCACACAGCATTGAGCTCTTGTTCATAAGCGAACTGGCTATCACAAATGAAAGCTCAACTGAGTGGCTTGTCGTCATGTGGACATTCATAGCAGCCAAAACTCTGCGTGGGAGTAGAGAGAGAACGTTCCAGACGGCCAGTCCCGTCTGGAACTCTGCGAGTAAGTAGAGAGAGAGAATTGGAGAATGATGATCGATAATTGTTTTTTACCCTTCTATCTGGCAACAAAACTGACACCTTTTTTACAAGGACTCATGTTTGCATAGACCACAATACCTGCAGTCATAATGCAAAAAAAAAACATAACTCTGATAATGTATGCACTGTCCTTGAAGTTGATTGGTCCAAACCCGAGACAGCTTTCCTTAGAGCCTAGTCTCACATGGTGTTGGACCAGATGACGCCAAAAGGCGCACAACTCAAAGACAATGCACCATCAGAGTTATGTTTTTTGTTTGCATTATGACTGCATGTATTGTGGTCTATGCAAACATGACTCCTTGTAAAAAAAAGGTGTCAGTTTTGTTGCCAGATAGAAGGGTAAAAAAACAATTATATTTTTTACTGGCAAATGAGGTTCCAATGGTGATGATGATCGAGTTATGGGAATACCAAAGCAGTCAAACAACTGCGAGATGATGATGATGGTGGTGGTGGTTGTGGGGTGAACAACACCAACCCAACCACCCCCAATATCCAAAGAGTTGCGTCTGAAGGTATCGTCTCTGTGACCTCCCCCCGGGCCGCGTGTCCACCAAAAGATCCGTGTTTGAAACAAGTATAACCCGTAAAAACAAAGTTTTTCACTATAAATCCTTTATATGCGTGGCGGCTAGAGTCCTCTCGTCCTCTGGCTTTGAGATGGCTGCCACCTATGGGTCAGATGATTGCATGGCAGCATTAAGCAATTGGTAATTAAATATAATTTTTTGTCCTAAAAAGTGTAACATTTTGGAGAGAAAAAATTTCACGAAAATTAATTGTCACGCACAACGAGTCTGTGTGGAAAATGTCAGCTCGATTGGATCACGGGAAGTGGGTTAAAAAACGACCGAAAGATTTGCACGGTCCTAAGCAACCAAGCAAACGTAATATAAAGGATTAATAATAAGTATAACCCGTAAAAACAAAGTTTTTCACTCTAAATCCTTTATATGCGTGGCGGCTAGAGTCCTCTCGTCCTCTGGCTTGAGATGGCTGCCACCTATGGGTCAGATGATTGTCTGCCAGCATTAAGCAATTGGTAATTAAATATTTAATTTGTTTTCCCTAAAGAGTGTAAAATTTTGGAATTTTTTTTCACGAACATTAATTGTCTCGCACAACGAGTCTGTGTGCAAAATGTCAGCTCGATTGGATCACGGGAAGTGGGTTAAAAAACGAAGATTTGCACGGTCCTAAGCAAGCAAGCAAGCACGCAAGCAAGCAAGCGAACTTAATATAAAGGATTTAAAAACGACCGAAAGATGTGCACGGTCCTAAGCAAGCAAGCAAGTGAACTTAATATAAAGGATTTAATAAAAAAACATCAACAATGTCATTCTCCCACGACTTATCGATTGCCAAACATTTTCTCTCGCTGTGGTTTTCACAGCACCTGATGACGAGTGTTGGCGTTGACAAACGAAATGTCGTGATAATTTTATTGTTTTATTATTTATATGTTTTCGCTTCTACGCGATTTTACCGAAATAACCACGAATATGAATCCACGCGCTCACGAAATCTTTAAATCGAACATCGCCAGCTCCGTTTAGTTCGGGATTTTAGTTTTTTTAGAAATCCTCCGTCTGCGTTACACTTCCGTACAGTAATCACCACCACCCCGCCTATTGATGTAATTCCCATGTTTTACGTTATAAAAACAAAAAATTAAACAAACACAATCGTCGTTTACCTTCGGCAGGTTATCTAGAATCGTGTTAATTTCGACTTTAACGCCCTTAAACTAATCATCGTTGTTGTTGTTGCTGCTGCTGCAATGGGTCGCACTGTACCGTGACGGCGGCCGCGCGCGCGCGAACAGAGAAGGGGTCAAACAACAACAACAATAACAACAACAACAACAACAGGACTCACGCGGGATTCGCTCGCTCGCTTGTCGTTGTCGTCGTCTTGTTAAAATTCACGTGAAGAAAGTAGCGCGAAGCGATATAAACGAGAGGAACGGGAGACGTTTGAACGAACGCGGAGAGAGACGCCGCCACCACCACCCCCACCGCTCCTCCGTGTGGCTCGACGCAGCGGCAGCAGCTCTCTAAGGGACCGCGGCGAATTTACCACTCGGCCCCTCCCCCCTCCGCCCCCGCCCCCGCCCCCTTCCGCCCCCCTCCCCCTTCCGCCCCTCCCCCTTCCGCCCCCGCCCCCTTCCGCCCCCCCTCCCCCTTCCACCCCCCCCTCCCCCTTCCGCCCCCCCTCCCCCTTCCGCCCCCCCTCCCCCTTCCGCCCCCCCTCCCCCTTCCGCCCCCCTCCCCCTTCCGCCCCCCCTCCCCCTTCCGCCCCCCCTCCCCCTTCCGCCCCCCCTCCCCCTTCCGCCCCCCCCTCCCCCTTCCACCCCCCCCTCCCCCTTCCACCCCCCCCTCCCCCTTCCGCCCCCCCTCCCCGTTCCGCCCCCCCCTCCCCCTTCCGCCCCCCCCCCTCCCCCTTCCACCCCCCCCCCTCCCCCTTCCACCCCCCCTCCCCCTTCCGCCCCCCCCCTCCCCCTTCCCCCCCCCCCCCTCCCCCTTCCACCCCCCCCCTCCCCCTTCCGCCCCCCCTCCCCCTTCCGCCCCCCTCCCCCTTCCGCCCCCCCCTCCCCCTTCCGCCCCCCCTCCCCCTTCCGCCCCCTCTCCCCTCCCTCCCCCCCCTCCTCCCTCTCTCTTCCCCCCCCCGCCCCCTCCCCCACCCTCCCTCTCCCCTCCTCTACCTCTCCCCCTCCCACCGCCCTCCCTCCCCCCTCCCTTCCCCCTCTCTCCCCCCCTCCCTCCCCCCTCCCTACCCTCCCTCCCCTCCCTCCCCCCACCCCTCCCTCTCCCCCCCACCCCTCCCTCTCCCTTCCCACCACAAAATTCCATTGCGATAATTTTCTCTCCGATCCTATGGGGGCCCGTCCATAAATGACGTCACGCACCTGGGGGGTGGGGTGGTCAGACATTTGTGACGATGTGTGGCGAGGGAGGGGGGGGTTTGAGCAATGTGACGTCACATCAAAATGCGCAACTTTAAATAAATATATAATTGTTTTACCAACACTAAAGGGGCCGTCCATAAATGACGTCACGCGATTTTGGACGATTTTTGACCCCCCCCCTCAAATATGACGTCACAAAGCTCTGCCCCCCTCCCAAAAAACATATTTCCATTTTAAAAATAAAACATGCTTCAAATCGCTTTAAACTATTGTCATTGTAGCGTGTATTTAATGTGGCGCTGCACTCTGATGTTGTAGGAAGAAAACATTTATTAAAAAGTCTATTGAATTAAGTAGAAAGTGTTGTCTATATTTATTTAAAGTTGCGCATTTTGATGTGACGTCACATTTCTCACCCCCCCCCCTAGGTGCGTGACGTCATTTATGGATGGCCCCTATCTTCTAAACTCTAAAGAATATAAAATAATCAGTGCCGGATGATCCCAGTAGCACAAAAGTAGCTACATAAAAAATTAACCCGTAAAAACAAAGTTTTTCACTATAAATCCTTTATACGCGTGGCATCGGGGCGGCTAGAGTCCTCTCGTCCTCTGGCTTGAGATGGCTGCCACCTATGGGTCAGATGATTGTCTGGCAGCATTAAACAATTGGTAATTAAATATTTTAAAAAATTCCCTAAACAGTGTAAAATTTTGGAATTTTTTTTCACGAAAATGCATTGTCACGCACAACGAGTCTGTGTGCAAAATGTCAGCTCGATTGGATCACGGGAAGTGGGTTAAAAAAACGACCGAAAGATTTGCACGGTCGTAAGCAAGCAAGCAAGCACGCAAGCAAGCAAGCACGCAAGCAATCAAGCAAGCGAACTTAATATAAAGGATTTAAAAAAAGCTCCCCCCCCCCCACTCTCGGCGCTAAACGCTTTCAAGCTATCAATTCCGGTTCAGTGATTTTGCACTTGCTCTATTGCTATAGTACTATACCGCCTTCGACTTTTAGGAACGACTGGGTGTTTTAGGGTTAGCTATTTGTCGTGTTAACTGGCTGTATAGCAAATGGAAAAAAATACAATTACTTTACCTTGCAAGTTAAACTTTTGTGTTTTAATACAGTAAAACTTGGGATTGCGAGCACAATTCGTTCTGGAAACGTGTTTGTAATCCAAAGCACTCGTATATCAGTTGTGATCACGTGACGCTCGGCAGACAAAGCGTATAGGTACTACTCGTATTGCAAGACCTCGCTCGTTTATCAAATTAATATTCATTAAAAAAATTTGCTCGTCTTGCAAAATACTCACAATCCAAGGTTTTACTGTATTTGTGTACGTTATTATTTTAATGTGAACAATTGATAGTGTGATTTATACTGGTAGGAACGAAGTGAACCAGCCTACAATAGATTATATCGTCCGTCCGTCCGATGTCCGATTAGGTGTAGCAACATCGCCCCCTACTGCAAACACTTGGCAGGACCCTACAAAAACCTTTAGACTCAGTGAGGCTTTCCTGGCTAAACAAGTGTAACATTCCCTTATAATTACCTGAGATAGCTTTTAATTAAAACATTTAAATTAAAAATTAACTCACAGCGGCCTCAAGCCTAGAACTAGGCCTCAAACTCTCCCTTCGTATCGTACCCCCGCGTGTGTGAAAGGGAGTTAATGTTTAACAATGTTACATTCCCTGATGTTTTTCAATAGAAACATTTAAATTTAAAGCTTTTACATTAATTATTAAAACATTTAAATTAAAAATTAACTCACAGCGGCCTAAAGCCTACAGCTAGGCCTAAAGCCTAGAACTAGGCCTCAAACTCTCCCTTCGTAACGTCCGATTAGGTGTAGCAACATCGCCCCCTACTGCAAACACTTGGCAGGACCCTACAAAAACCTTTAGACTCAGTGGGGCTTTCCTGGCTAAACAAGTGTAATAATACATTATGTTTATATTCTTTGGTTATTCGTTCCTACCAGCCCACCCCGCAGGGCCCTGTTTACAAATGTAAACTTCGTATTAATACGATGGAATTAAGCTGCGGTAACGTTAACGATATGAATGCATGCGGGGTACATGGAGGCGCGGGCTAATTTAAATTTGTTTAACACAAAACGCTATTTTTGCAGAGTATATGCATCTGCGGTTTAGATGCATATGCGGGCTATATGCGTGAAAATACGGTACCTGGTGCTGTGTAGTGAACATCATCACTGGGGAGACAAAGGCGGCCGGGCGTGGTGCTGGCCACCCACCCCCCTCGCGTGCCACGGTACTGACCTTCATAGGCGCTCGCTAACACCACTTGCCCCAACAGTCCGTTACAGGCTATACGGGGGATCTTTGTCTTTGTTGTGAGTGCGTTTGTGAGGACTCATTACACAGGACAGATGAAAACAAAACTGACTTTAGTTTTCTATTCACGTTACTTATTTTGTGTGTTTGTTCACTCTACAGTACTTATTACAGCATTACTTGCAAATGCACACCATTTCTTTTTATTTACGTGTTTATAAAAGCTTCTCTTTTTTTGTTGTTGAAACGGAACACATTTCACAAGTACGCGCATTTAAATACGGTAACATTATTGTGTTCCGACTTGCGAACGGGTCACGGGAACGGAACCCTTTCGTAAGTCGAAGACTGCTCGTACTTTTAAAGCATTAGAACAGAATGTTGTCAGGAGCAATACATCTTTAAAAGTGTCCCGTAGTCCATCGCAAAAGGAATTAAAAACTGCCATAAAATTCCAGGCAATAATGACGGAGTTTTCAAAATAACATCTGGAACATTCTGGCAGCCGTCAAAGAAATGATTTGCATCGTCGTAGCGGAAAGTTATGCTTCGTACCATAGTATGATGCCACGCTTGCCCATGGCAAAATGCGTGACGCTAGCCACGCTGTAGGGCTCTCTGTAGGGCTCTCTGCATCAACAACTGCACAAACACGAGGCTGTAGAAACACGATCCCAAATGGGTCCAAGGAAAAGAATAAAAGCAACGGCAATTCCTCGATACGCGAATATTCGCCGCGCGCGAAGTCTCAGCATAACTTTGTATTCACCTACATTATCTTAATGTGAATACAAAGTAAAATAATAACTAAATACACTGACATTTATAAATAATACAATTATCCATCGACAGTATAGAAATAAAAATACAATTATAAGATACGGATTCTTGAGAATTGTGCATCGCGATGGGTCAGAATGTTTTTTTAAATCCTTTATATTAAGTTCACTTGCTTGCTTGCTTGCGCGCTTACGACCGTGCAAATCTTTCGGTCGTTTTTTAACCCACTTCCCGTGATCCAATCGAGCTGACATTTTGCACACAGACTCGTTGTGCGTGACAATTTATTTTCGTGAAAATTTTTTTCCAAAATTTTCAACTTTTAGGAAAAAGTTAATTTCATATTTAATTTAAAATACCAATGTGATAAAAATGAAACTCTTACTCAAGAAAAACAGAAATGAATAATAAAATAAATTTCATATTTAATTTAAAATACAATGTGATAAAAATGAAACTCTTACTCAAGGAAAAACAGAAATGAATAATAAAATAAAACCGATGCCACGCATATAAAGGATTATAGTGAAAAACTTTGTTTTTACGGGTTAATTTTTTTGTTAATTCGTCTCGGGCAATCGGCAATGCAGCCTTACGACTGCACCCAAGACTGCAAAGGTGAGCGCGAAGATATTTGACAGTCGTTTTTTAATTTGAATACTGCACAGTATAAAACACATTATTTTCAACGTAAATTGTCTCCGTGTACGATGTGAACGATAAGTCAACAGTGTTCGGTAGCGTGAAAGGGGAAGCTACTTAGGCCGGGAACGCGTCCTCACGCCGTGCGCGGTACCAACGCTAGAAGTCGCTCAACATGCAAACTTTCGATACGCGGACGAAGCTCAAGGAACGCGAGCTCCCATATCTCCCGCGCCCGCAGGCAAGGCCAGGCCGGATGGGCCTGGCGTTCCCTCGGCGGCGCCAGCTTCCCGCGCGTGCGTCCGCTCGTGCATCTTGAGGCTCTTGCTCCACGTAAACGCGCGTCCGCACACAGCCGCAGCTGAACGGCCTCTCTCCCGTGTGCGTGCGCCGGTGGTTCCTGAGCTCGCTCGGCAGCACGAAGGTCCGCCCGCACTCGTCGCAGCCGTGCGGCTTGTCGCCCGTGTGCGTGCGCTCGTGACGCTTGAGGCCGCAGCGGTGCGGGAAGCTCTGGCCGCACGCGGCGCAGCGGAAGGGACGCTCGCGCGTGTGCGAGCTCCGGTGGATCTTGAGGCTGGACAGCCACGAGAAGGCGCGTCCGCACACGCTGCACGGGTACGGCTTCTCGCCCGTGTGCGTGCGCGCGTGCGACTTGAGCTCGCCGGCGAGGGCGAAAGCGCGGCCGCACACCGGGCATCGGTGCGGCCTCGCCGCGGCTGCGGCGGCGGCGTCGGCCGCGGCGGCGCACTCGTCGAGGTTCGGCCCGCGGCCCTGGTGGGAGGGCGCGGCCGCAAGCGCCGCGCCGGTCCGGCTGCTTGGCGCCGGCCGTGTGCGCCAGTCGGTGGCTTTGGAGGGCGCGGCGCTGAGCGAAGCACCGGCCGCAGACCTCGCACCGGTGGGGGCCGTCGGAGGGGTGCCCGGTGGCCTGGCCGGCGGGCGCGACTCCGGGCCGACCGGCGTAGCCGTCGCGCCGGTTTGACTCGGGCGGAACGCGCTCCGTTGCCGGGCGATCGCCGTCGCCGGCGGTCACGATCTTGTTATGGTTCGGGCCTCCCGGCCAGCGGAAGCTTCCGTCACCGAACAGCTGGTTTGCGTGTTCGGCGGCGGCGGCGGCGATGGCAGCTTTTGATCTTGTGCCGCCACCGCCGCCGCTGTACTTTGCTTCGGCCGGGGGGTGCAGCAGACGCGGTGAAGAGTCGATGCTGAAATCGTCCCCGGCGGCCTGCAGCGAGGTCACTTTCTGAATGACGAAGCCGGATTGGTCACCGATGTGCTTGCCTACGGGAGACGGAAACTCGTGTTAGGAATTGCATCGGGGTTATCGCGCGTGATGCGCACGTGCACACACGCACAGAGGCAAAGCCACTGCCACGATGTGAATCCGTGAGCCATATCTGAATTGAAAAGTCGCGTCTTTCAAACTGCTGTTTGTGTTTAGTTTGTTGTCTTCCCCCCGCAACCTCCGATCACCACGGTTAGCTACGTAAGGCGCGAAAGAAGTTCAACATACATACTGCACTGCAATCCTTCTGCAGTAACTTATACTGTACTGGAAATATTTCTGTCACATAATGTTGCGATGAAAACTATATCATTACTAGCTTGACTGCCCGGCTTCGCCCGGGACTTGGATTCAGCACGCCCGGCCGCCTTTGTATCCCCAGTGGCGATGTTCACACACCAACACCAGTTACTCGTTTGAGGCTGAGTCGACCTAGAGGAGGCCCAGGACCGGTTCAAATAATCGCCACCGGTGGTGGCCGTGAGCGGGAATCGAACTCGGGTCGCCGGGTTTGTAGCGCGGCGCGCGAATAGCTACGCAATCGCTGGCCCCCACCACACACACACACAGGATAAAGACAAATATCCCCAGAGTAGCCTGTGAGACTGGCAAATTTCAAGTTTGTGCATGTCGGGAAGTACGCTAAACATTTTGAACAGACACGCATAATCACAACTTTGCCTTTAATGCATATGGAGATGATTATTAGATCACGTTTTAAGGCTTGGGATGCTTTCGTGTTGTTATTGTTACATTTTGTAAAAAATTATTAATCTATTAAAAACACGTTTTTATAATCTGTTCGGTTTTAATCATTGTTTGTGCTCCTTAGAATGTGTTTTTTAACACGATGTTTTTTGATGTATTGTTTTAATATATGTCACGTTTTAATTGTTATATAAATCTTTAGAACTGCGTTTTTGTGTTAAGTTTGTTGTCCTTCCCCTCCGATTGGCACGGTTGGCTACGTACGGTGAAAAACTAGTTCAACATACATATACATACAAGGTTGAAATATGCGGTGGTAATAAATTATATTCAAATTTTTATATTTTCAGCACCACTCCACACACGTTAATTACACGTTCGCAGAATAGCAAACACGTGCCAATAATTATAAAAATGAACAGACGTAACATTCACATCGTTAGCATGCCCTGCACATGACAAGCAAGAGACAACATCCCGGGGCAGGCTGCCTGAAACGCCCAGGCACAAATTAATTCGAGGACAAATTAAAATGGAGGGGAAGAGACTCAAAATGTTGTCAGGCCTGAAAATTTTTGAGACAACTACCAGAGTATTTGCAGGTAAAAAATTGAAATAAATATTTTTAAAAAAACACATGTTCATGCTTGAAAATTTTAGACAATTATTTGAGCATTTTTACGTAAAATAAAAAAATAAAAAATGTATTTTCAGGTCTGAAAATGTTAAGACAATTACCTGAGTATTTCCAGGTAAAAAAACTACATAAAATTTATATATTAAATACACATGTTCATGCTTGAAAAATTGAGACAATTATCTGAGCATTTTTACGTAAAATAAAAAATAAAAAATGTATTTTGAGGTCTGAAAATTTTGAGACAACTACCAGAGTATTTGCAGGTAAAAAAAAAAACGTTAAATATATATTTTAAGAAACACATGTTCATGCTTGAAAAATTGAGACAATTATCTGAGCATTTTTACGTAAAATAAAAAAAAAATGTATTTTCAGCTCTGAAAATGTTGAGAGAATTACCTGCGTATTTTTCGGTAAAAAAAAATCAGATTAAAAAAAAATTCATGCTTGAAAAATGTCAACATACGTGCTACGTACACCACGTGTGACGCAAAACGTTATGTTACCTGAGCATTTCTACGTAAAATAAAAAACATAAAAAATGTATTTTCAGGTCTGAAAACGTTGACACAATTACCTGCGTATTTTTCAGTAAAAAAAAAATCGGATAAAAAAATCATGCTTGAAAAATGTCAACATACGTGATACGTACACCACGTGGGATGCAAAACGTTAACACGCGTCACACTTCACAGTGAAATCTCGAAACCCTTCAGCACCGCTCCCCCCTCTTGCCCGTCACCTGCTAGTTCTGTTGAGCTTATGAAGCCCATTCTTCGCGGGTCCAGATCCTCCCAAGAGACCTGGTGGAGGTTGCCATCGCCCCCAGGCGCTGGCCACGAGATGTCATCTGCAACCGGGTTAACGGAGGGCGGGCACTCAAATCGACGACGACAACGCCAGCATCACAAGGGGTGCCGCGCTGGCTAGGAGATGTTAACTACCTCGGCTGGTATACAGGAGGTCGTGGGTTCGATCGCGACCCTGACGATGTCTGCTGATGAATATTTGTAGTTTGCGTGTCTCTCTCTCTCATCATCATCATCACAGTTGGGAGATGTTAACTACCTCGGCTGGTATACAGGAGGTCGTGGGTTCGATCGCGACCCTGACGATGTCTGCTGATGAATATTTGTAGTTTGTGTGTCTCTCTCTCATCATCATCACGGTGGCTAGGAGATGTTAACTACCTCGGCTGGTATACAGGAGGTCGTTGGTATCGATCGCGACCCTGACGATGTCTGCTGATGAATATTTGTAGTTTGCGTGTCTCTCTCTCATCATCATCACGGTGGCTAGGAGATGTTAACTACCTCGGCTGGTATACAGGAGGTCGTGGGTTCGATTCCGAGCCTGACGCCTGCTGCTGCTGTATATTTAGAATTTGCGTGTCTCTCTCTCATCATCATCACGGTGGCTAGATGTTAACTACCTCGGCTGGTATACAGGAGGAGGTCGTGGGTTCGATCGCGACCCTGACGATGTCTGCTGATGAATATTTGTAGTTTGCGTGTCTCTCTCTCATCATCATCACGGTGGCTAGGAGATTGTTAACTACCTCGGCTGGTATACAGGAGGTCGTGGGTTCGATTTCCGACCCTGACGCCTGCTGCTGCTGTATATTTAGAGTTTGTGTGTCTCTCTCTCATCATCATCACGGTGGCTAGGAGATGTTAACTACCTCGGCTGGTATACAGGAGGAGGTCGTGGGTTCGATCGCGACCCTGACGATGTCTGCTGATGAATATTTGTAGTTTGCGGTGTCTCTCTCATCATCATCATCATCATCACAGTTGGGAGATGTTAACTACCTCGGCTGGTATACAGGAGGTCGTGGGTTCGATTCCGACCCTGACGCCTGCTGCTGTATATTAATATATTAAGAGTTTGCGGTGTCTCTCTCCCCGCGGTTGCATTTTTCTCTGGGTCCTCCCGTTTTTCCCTCCACATTTAGAACCGTGCATTTAAGAGTATTTGACTGCTAGAAATTTCCACGTGACAAGCCACTTCGTTGAGCTATCATTTGTGGCCAGGTGGCTCCTCAGTGGGGCCTTACCTAGTAAACAAATAAATAGTTTGAATAGTTAGTAAGCCCCCTGGTCGTCGACGATACTGGCAGAGGTGTCAAGCAGAGGTCGCAAACGGGTTTTGATTCCTTACCCGTACCCGTACCCGGCCGCACCAGGGTCGCAAACGGGTACCCGATTGCGACCTCTGGGATGAAGCCATGTTGCAGGCGCGGGTGGGTTGATTCTAGGAACTTGAATTGTGAGAAGAGACAAGACGTTGGGAAATGAGTGACAAACGGTTACTCACCATTGACTCACGGCCTACCCGTACCCGTACCCGGCCGCACCAGGGTCGCAAACGGCTACCCGTACCCGGCCGGGTACGGGTAGCTGGCCGGGTACGGGTAGTACGGGTATCGGGTAGGTACGGCGTATCGGGTACCGGTTGCGACCTCTGGTGTCAAGGCATGGAGATAATTAATGGGAAGAGTGGTGGCGATAAAGGAGCTACGGGGAAGCACCGTCCGTAACCGCCGACTACATTTTAGTAAGCCACTCACTTGCCTGCCTCCGTGCCCTCAAATGGCTACCCATCGCAGCAGGGTCATATACAGATCGCCTATGCCTCTGCCACCATTGCCATTCACATAGGCCTGCCCGTCCGGTACCTTCCTTCATTACTGACGACCTTGCAGCTCAGCACCACGGCAGATTGCCTGCGCAGCGCGACTCACGACCTCCTCTCGATACCAAGATCCAGGCATGGTCGTCGTGGTCTATGCGCCGCTTCTCGGTGGCAAGCCCCAACAGTCGGGAATGCCATCACCATCTGCACATCGCAGCATCGCCTCAATCGCCTCCTTCAAGAGACACTTAAGAACTCACCTCTACAATCACGCTTTCGAGCGACTCTGAGCATGGCTCCGCGCCTCTGAGTTGCGGCCGTTACGTCCGCAAATTTGCGCGCGTTACGAATTGCATTATTATTATTAAACATTCAGCCCTAGAGCTAAATCTGTTTTGTCTCAAAGCCCCATTACCGCTAGCACAAATCGGAACATAGCCGGGAAAGAAACTCGTGATGAAACGGAGGTGCAGGCTGCGTCGTTACCATCTCGGAGCTCCATTTTAATCACGCGAGTCGCCTGCGAGGGACTGAAGCCCCCGACCGGAGGAGACACCTCCGCCGCATCTGCAGAGAGAGAGGGGGGCAAAAGCGGCATCGACTGAACGGGCAGCTCGCTTTTTCTAAAACAGAAGCCAACGCCGAAAAAAAAATCGGGCGGTGAAACGTGCGTTTTGTTTCGAGCTTTTGAAGTCACCGAATGCTTCACGTACGATAACAATCACTGCCGCTACCTGTGTAGTGACACAGCGCCGACTGCTGTCCAGCAGCGGCAACTGCGGTGAACAGTTAGCGCGCACGCCGTGGAGCAAATTAACCTTATGGCAGTACCCCGGCTCTCGCATAATGTCCGTGATGCAGTCATTTTTAGTCTGTCGATGGTCGGCGATGCGGCAATCGACTCGTCTCGACGAGCTGTACACGATGCACCACTACGGTGCGTACAAGCGTTCAGGGTTTCAGCGCAATCGTCCTCGCTGCGTTTCGACATCGCGTAGTAGCACCGATTTCGGATTGGTTGGTACCCCAGTCGCGGAGTTAAATACACACCTGGAAAAAAGAGTGTCCCAGAAATAAAACTATTGAATTGCCCCGGGCAATTTTGTATTATTTCGTACCCCGGGGTACCGCCATCAGGATCATATACACGGTTGTGCCGGCAGGGCGGAGGAACTGGGGCAAGGGTCACGGAAGACCTCATCTGGAAGCCCCTGGAACCCGCTAGTGGGTTCGAGAAGGGAGGCGCGGCCAGGGCGGAGCCAGGCTGCGTCGAGGAGGATAAAAGCAGCGGAGAGCGGGAGCTCTAGGCTGCCGGTTCTGGGGAGTGCAAACGTCTCGTCGTCACCGTCATCTTCGCCGCTGCCGCCTTCACTCGATAACACTGTCTTCTTGGTTCTTTCGGTAAAGTCACGTAGAAGGGAAATAATCAAATAATACAAATAAAGACAGCGTCTTTCCGACAGACCTGTTCTTCACCTGAGGACGGCTGCTTGCTTTGTGGCCGAAACGTCGTGAGAATTGTATTTTATTATGTTAAATTTTTATTATTTTATTATTTCCCTTCTACGTGACTTTACCGAAAGAACCAAGAAGATGAATCCCTGCAGTCACGAAAGCTTTAAATCGATAACACTGATCAACACACTTTTTCTGGCATAAGGTATTCCAATGGTTGTAATGTAATTTTGGGGTGCTGATTCCAAATCTGGCATCAGTTTTTGTCTATCACATCAGGTTTTTGAGATATCAAATATTGCATTTTCAATGAAAACTGCAGAAGAAAAATATTAAATAAATGTGGATATCTACATAAAATTATATTATAAACACACTATCCTAAAAATACAGCACCGTATTTTAACACTAAAGCAGTCATTGACACGCAACAACTTGCAATCATAAGTGACAGAGTTAATTTCGGGTAAAATCAATGAAAATGGGGTATGCCGATAGCATAAAAATGAGATGTGATAGAGCAAATCTGAGATCAGATTTGGAATCGGCACCCTGTGAAATTAGTCTAAAACAGCTGCAAAAGTCCAGGCCAGAAATTTTTTTTTTTGTTGACCAGTGTTATCAATGTGCTTTGTGAGAATCGTTTAATTGGTGAAACACGTTGCTGGCTTAGTGACTTCGATGTTGTGCTCCGAGTAGTGTAGAGAGACGCAAGCACTCGTGAACAGCGTGGCTTCTCAATAATCACGCAAGAGTTACAGGTACAGTGCAAGCAAGCCAGCTTCTCTAAAAGGTGTTCATCGTTTGAGGCCCCATCTGCCTGTGACAAGATGATTCGTGAAGAGA